AAAATAAGAAAATAAAGCTCTAAATACAGTCTATTAAATTCTTCTTCCTGCTAGCATTCTACAAGAAAGATCTTGCTTTTTTTCTAATATTAACAGATTTAAAAAAGACCAGGACAAGACTCTTTTAGTACAATATAATTATGCATATTTTGTAGAAGACATGTAACTTAGATCTTCTTTCAGGATTAGATGAAGACCACTGAAAGGACTTAAGAACTTCCAGAAATTTGACATTTTCATTATCTCCAACTGTTTGGAAAACTGATTCAGTGAAAGTCATCATCAGTTAGAACATAGTGAATCCTATTCCAAAATTTTGTAGGCTTATATTAAATACAAAAATATGTACAAGAATTTTACCAAACCTATAGTACAAATTCCTCACTTCCAAAATTAGGAAACGCCAGAATTTGCATGATTTTAATTTTTTCTGTTGTGTTTCTTATTCCCACATTTTTATATGCATATATAGCTTTTAATATCATGGACACATACTTCATTTTCCTCCAGATCCCCGAATCATCAGTGCCCAGAATACACAATGAACAACTAATCAGTATTCCTTTTCATCTCTTTGATTCAATATTAATACCAAACACCATTGATCTTTTAGGAATCAAGAACAATAGTTTAATGTAAAGTTTGGGGGAAAGATTTAATTATAAAGCCTTGTGACTTTTCTCTTTCTCTTCCCTCCTGTTCCTATCCCCTTTTCCTTCAGCTCTTGCGTTGGACCCATTTCACTTTCTCTCAGGTCTTGTTTGTTCCACTCTGATGGACCTCTCAGGTGCTGCGTTATCCAACGTGTGACAGCACAAGTCTTCACACACCAAAACAAAACCACGGCTAAGAAAGACTCTCTCTTACAGGCAGCTTCCTCAACCAGCTTGACCTATAGCTGCTGAGGCAGTGTGCACACAGAGAAAGGGATGGAAACACACAGCGGAGGACAGTGCCACAGCAGGACTTGGGCAACTCAGGGTGAGACTGGCTTAAGATGCCGTTGAAACACACTGTGAGTGACACAGGCACTTGCCCTTCCATGGCATGGCGCTGTGCCACTACCCCATGCATAAAGGGAACAGAAACACATTCTTACGCTGAGGACAGTACGCCCCATCCACACCAGCACTTTGTAAATCTTGCTCAGATCTCTCTTTGTCCTTCTGTCTTAACATTGACAGCGGCTAGCATAAGGGTATGGAGGTAACAGGAAACCATTTATTAGAACTTGTAAACAAGTTTCCGTAGGTTGCTTGTTTGTTTGTTTTTCCTTAAATAAGTCTTAAATGTGTTACAAAATACTTGTACATCCATTAGCCTGCACAGTTGCCCTTGGTGGGGATTTCCCTGGCTGTATGCAAGCTCAGAGACAGGCACGTGGCAACTCAGGCTGAGCACAAAGCAGCACAGGATGAATCTGTAAGGTCCTTCGAAGCAATAAGCAGCATCTTTCCCCATTATCCAGTTCTTAAGAACTACATATCATCTTTTTCAGATTATCTTATGAATGAATACTGTTCTTGTTTTGTGTGATGCAGCTCTCTTAAGCCTCCATTAAATCTTCATGAGCATACATACAGAATTCTGCTAAAAAATTTCTGCTCCAACTCCTACAGCTAAAAAGCACAGAGTCCAGTATGAGCATAAATAGTACATAAATGGACATACATAGACTATAGGAACACAGAACAGAACTGTCATTAAATATATGTCAATATAGATATGTGAACATATATAAATAAGTATGTGAATAGTTGCACAACCCACACATCTCCACTAGATTCTGCAGAATAGCATAGAATAATGTCCAGGTATAGAGATGATGAACAGGTGCCACACCTATTTGTCAGTCAGTGGAGCTGTGGGAGGCAGCAATTAAAGGTTCTGAATTCAAAACAGGAAGAACAAAAGGAAAAAGAAATTCCAGCTGGAGACAGCATGGCACTGGTCTGCTGACCCAAGCAGAAAAGGGGACAAGTTGTAAATTACTGGAAAAAAGAGTTTTGTAAAAGGAAGCCACAGTGTATAGGCATTAGTGCTCTTTCCACATCACACAGAGCTTAAAGTATGAATATACATTGTATTTAACTATAGTTATCCATGCAACTTGTTAGAAAAAATCCTTTACATATGGTTATTTACACAAACATACAGATGATTAGATAAAGAGCTGTATAAATAGATGTATCACTAAGCAAGATACTCTGTTGATCCTCATATTAACCTTTGCATATGTATATATCATACTTCCAAACATTTAAAGATTTTTCTTTCTATTTCTGCTTCTCTAAAACTCATAAAAGTACTTACTGTGATGAAATTCACTTTTAAAACTGCCAAGACTGCTGCATGCCTAAGCAAGCCATTATTTGCTACCTCATAATCATCTTTTCTACGTCTATTAGAATCACTGATGCATTAATTGCTTATCAAAATTTGAAACAGTTCATGAGTCATTCTGAAGATAAAATAAATAAATATTAATGAGCCAATTTCAACAGAATTCAAGTCCTCTGTCTCTTAAAGCTGAAAGACTGTATTTATTTCATGTCAGAATTAGGTCTTGATACCTAATATATGGGCAAATACGAAATATACTTAAGCCATACTCAGCAAATCAGAACTGACTGACTAGATGACCATGTTTCAAGGGATCAACGCATCATACTCTTATTTGACAAAATTAAAGATCAAAGACAGAAAGGACTGGTCAATTATAACATAGAGATTAAGTGAAAGATAAGTCTAAATGCATAGGTCTGATGCAGATTGAGTGAAAAATTAAACATTTAGTTTTTAAAGTTTGGAAGTGATTCTTTATAAGATCTTAACACAACAGAAGTAAACACTTGATCTTCAAACAGACACAATGGCACAAAATATCATTACATAAGGAATATTAGTATTCTTTACATCATATGAGGGAATGGGCGAAAGAAGGCATAGAGTTTTCAGGAATATCAAAATAAAGCATTTTGGTTTGGATCAGTCTGAAATTTTCATTACGCCAAAACACTGGGTAGAGGGCACTTCACCCATTTAATTTTTTACTAAAATTGAGTGATACATACTATTTTGGAGAGTAAAAACTTTCATTCTGAAAACATGAGTGTGCTGAGAGATTTTTAAGTCTGGGCCAATGACGGCTCACTGCTGAAAATCCAAGTCTAAAACTTTTCAAACTAAATGACCCAGGATGAAACAGGAAACAAAATTCCTTTCCTTGAGCCTTTACTTTCTTATTCTAGATTGTTCCTGAAAATTGTAGGCAAAAAAGATCCCCCCAAAAATCTGAGGAGGAACAGGGAATATCCCTAAAAGTCAACTGTAGCTCTGAAACATATTAGGAATTAGACAGACACCAGTGAGCCACTTTTGAGCCAAAATGTTTGTGAAAAAACCTTTTAAAAAATCACAGTTTTTCTCAAGGAAGTTCAGCAGCAGGAGATTCTGGCTGATGTAGCTGACTGGTATAAAGCAGATAAAATGGGAAATTCATAGAAATGGGGAATTTCCCTGTTACTCACAGACCACAAGCAGGACGAAGAACCCATTTTAAGAGACTGTAGGTCTTAGTTAGAAATGAAGAATCCTCTATTTATTATATTAGGTCAAGTTGTTTACTGTCAGAGATCATATCAGCTGCTTAGCAGAAGATGCTGCTTCACCTTCAGCTAGTCACGTAAAGAGGCAGGCTGTGGTAGTCCTAGAAGTATCACTGCACCTCAGCTGATGCCACACCACCCTGATACCCAGACACCCTGTTTAGACCCATCTATGCTGTAAAACTAAAGACATGTCCTCAGACCAAGATCTCCAATCCAGTACTAAACACAGAATACGTCACTGTCAGTGAAGTCTACATGTAAGAATACAGAGAAAAATACAATTACAGAATGTGCTGTGGATTAAATATAACAGATGAAGAATTAAAATTTTGCTACTTACATAGCCTTCATAAATTTGCAGATATACGTTCTTTCTAATGTGTAGCTAAATAACATGTATTTACCCAAACAGTATCTTAAAATTCTTCACTTCATGCATTCACAGATAACATAGCTCTCACATAATTTGCTTTTTCTTTTCAGTGGATGTAAGGAAGAATGTAGTTCATGTTACAAATGAACTGTGCTACTTTATCTGAAACCTCAAAATTATGTAAATAACATATGCGAAGTCATAGCTTCCTTAAGACAGGCCACTGGTATCTAAAAGGATTGTTTAAATTTATTGTTATGTGCATACAAGAGAACAATGAAGCGATTAAACTGTTTTCTTATGTTCATGAAAAACATTTTTTGTGCTCCTAGAAATTATTCTCAGTATGTCATATAACAAGTTTACAATCTGCAAACAAATATTATTGCTGAGATTTAACACTCATTTATACAAATGTCAGGTTATTATTCTGTTTTTATAAAATATTTGTGGAATTAGCTTTTCACCAGATAATTTACTTTCCTCTCGTTAATATTTTAGGCTTCCAAACTTAATGACACATTCCATTGTTCACCTTTGTTCGGCAGAACTTAACAGATGCAGTTGTAAAGTTAAACCTAGAGCTATTCAGTGCATCTACTGAAAATGTTAACTTCTAAATAAAATACGTGAAGGAATAGAAGTTTACATTGGATTATGCAACAAAAATTTTCACTCAGCACAATTTTGAAAAAAGCTGTGGTTTCATGCGAAATGGGAAAAGATAAATTCCACACAAGAATTCTTTTTGTTTTGAAAAGCCTTTAGTGTAAATGCTGCCAAAATGTTGAACCTCCACTTGATGTTAAACTTGTAAACAGAATATGGGAAATAAGCAGGCCATGTGCATGATTGTAAGAAAAATTGGCAGTGCTGGAAAAATGCGTTGTCAAATAAAGCTGAACTCAGATATAGATGTGATTATCACTGTAGAAATGGCCAAACTAGTCACAGTTATCAGTGTTACATTTTTTAGTGTCACGTTGCACCAAATGTGAATAAAACCAGCTTCTTACCTGCTCAGATAATTCTGGCCCATTGATACGAGCCTGTATGAGAGCGTCATTAACAAGTGAGTGAAAGTTTAGAAGCACTTGCTCAATGTCATATGTTCCACTCATTGCACTTGAGAGCTCCTCCAGGGACTGAATATATCCCCGCCAATGAAGATCAACTTCTGCCATGTTAGCTAAGCAGCCTCGGATGACGTTGAGGCAGTAGCCCATACAGGGCTTACTTAAAGTCAGCCCTTGGCAATGGGGACAGTACTGCATTCTCAGCAAAGCTCTGCTGCAGTCTTTAGAGAAATGCAGATGATCTGTTGTATTGATCACTTCAATCCCCAAATTCAGAGCCTGCAAGAAAGTCCGGCTGGATAACAGTGATCTTCCCATTTGTCCTACGGCCTTTTTGGGAATGTTACCAAAGGGTCTGATGTCCCTTCTCAGCATTCGGAGGCACTCCGCATATTCAAGTGAAATGTCAGTCAGACCACGGTTAATCACATGGTTGTAGACTACTGGGAACAGGGTGTCAAAAAACCTGTCGACAAATTCCTCTGTGCTAACGTCTGTGCCAAACAGGAAGAGTCCAACATCTGTGAAAAACTCCTGAACATGTGTAGTAGCCTCAGCAGCCATGTTTCTATATCTGTTGCAGAAAAGTGTGCTTGTGTAATTCTCAGCCAGTCTGATAAGCATTTCAAAGGTTTCTGTAAGAAAAAAAAATCATTATTTTAAAATTTTAAAAAATAAGAAATTAGAGTAAGAACTTAAAACAATTACATCAGGGCATCTTACGTTTATCCCAAATGCATTTTTGCATTAGAATTTATGAAGAGACAAACTTCTCACAAATCGTGACAACTGTCTTTTGTACATAGGCAAACACCTTACAAGTAATGTTGCAACAAAATTAATAATCCATATGTTTTCTCGGCAGGATATATTAAACAGTATAAAAAAATATAAAAGGAAACCAACTAAAGCTGAGTTATTAAGTTAGAAAATACAACAAAGCCCTACTGTACCTGTCTATGTATATACATACATTGGCGCTCTCAACTCATGACTCATTCTGCAAGTTGCAATAGAAAGTTAAATGCTCTCAGTCACTCCACTTCAAGTGATTCCTCTTACCATCCTAAACGGGTAGGCAAAAGTAACTTTGAACAATTTGAACAACTCTTCCATTCCATTAAAACTTAACTTTTGAAAGACCAAACAGTTTTGTCTTGTCTTCCAAAGGAAGGAGATGTACCAAACACACATGAAAACGTGCTTTTAAACAATGTTGTTTGGTCTGGAAATTGCTATGGTCAAGCAAAGTGCTGCAACATGCAGATTTGCTCTCCTCGGGCACTGTGATGGATACACCCTCTCTCAGCCTCAAGATCTGCATAACCACTAAAGCCTGAATGGATAAACGTACATTTCATTTCATGTGTTAGGTGGCAATCCTTAAGTACACTGAGTAGTTTTTAATAAAACAGTTGAAGTATCCTGGAGAAGTATTCTCTCCTGACTTGATCTATGATTTGCAGATAAGGACAAATGCTGGTTTTCAAAACAGAAGAAGAATGTTCGCACTGAAGAATTTCCTAGCTCTGCCTGAGAAACTTGCAATTCAGGGAAAGCAAAGGAGCAATATAGAGATCAACTGGAAACTTACCTTAAGGTTGAGAATAAAAATACATAGAAACTCATATTACAAGTATTAACCCATTTTATCCACTGGATGGCTATGACTCAGTAACTTACTTTTATTCATTCAAGCTTTACGAGTTTTCATGCATTTATTTTTTCACATTTATTTTTAATGGGACCCTATAGAAATAAAGTGAGGAAAAGCATGAAGTACAGTTAATATTGTCCAAACAGTGATGTTAAAAACAGGCAGAATCAGTTAGTGTCAAACTATGTCAGGCAATTACTGAAGCAATCTCAAGTCTGATGTTAAGAAGGACTTAACAGACTGAAAGGAATAGTAGAAAATTCAGAACAATTTTAATATAAAAACCAAGACTGGCTATCACATCTTTAATATATATCTATGTGTAAGAATAAATGCCTTATATTCTGATAAAAAGCTTGTTCACATCAGCAAAATGATTCTCACTGACCTCAGTGGGTTTCAAATTGCACGTTTTGTAGAATGATCACAGAAAATTCATTAAACTAATCTGCTTATACTTTCTATGCATTCTTTGTTTTCTCCAATAAAAATGAGATACATGCTTATAAATCAGTCATTACCTCCACTCCTCTGCTATCTATTATATATTAACCCTTAGTTTCGTATTTCATTTAAGACTGACTTTCCTACCTCTCTCTTTTCCATTCCTCTAACACTCATGTAAGAAAAGAAGCGTTGAATTCCCATAGTAAGGAGTAGGAAAGTGCACTCCATTTGTCTTTTTTTTTCATTACTATGGCACATATATAAGTGCATCTCTCCTAAAGTGAATTTCACTATAATGAAATACATGTCAAATATCATAGTAATTCAGCAAAGTGTTTGATTTGTTTCAAAAATCAGGCTCCTAAAGTCAGGACCCTGCATGGAGCTAGGCTCCCACCAAGTGGAGACCTATTCAATACAGCAAAGCCTCTTCAGTTTATCCCATGAGTTGACATGCAGAAGTGCCAGCTGAGTAACTCTGGAGACCACAGGTGGCTGCATCACCACCGGCTCTGTGACTTTTCTGAACCTCAGCACCTCATGCCAAATTGTACCTGAGAAACTTGTACGGCATCCCATGTTTGTAGATCTGCACATGTGTATGAGAGACTCATGTCCTACTGGAGTAGCAGATGAAACACAACAGATAGGGCACATCAGCTTGATCAAGATGCCCACTATAAGGCGACTGAGCCAGGGATGAGATCTCCAGCAGTTTGGACACCTAGCTCACATGGAGGCACATATGCATGGACATGCTAAATTGCAGCTCTAAATATCCTACTGTACATTATGTCTCATTTTTATTGGAAGGAACAAGGAATGCAAAGAAAGTACCATAGAGTCTTTATTTAGTTGCTTAAGAGTGTTTGAAACCATTTTCAATGGTAGATGACGTTTATCTGCCTGTCCAGAAGGGCACGGGTGTCCTGCAATTCCTGTGTCACATCTGCAAGGTTTGTGTGTATGTTTTGCATTTAAAATGGTACTAGATGGCTGTGTCTAGACAACTGAACTAAATTCTAGATACTCAGCTATCACTGACTCAAGAACCCTTCATATAAAAGCTTGGAGCAGCCAGAATAATAAAGGCAAAAATTTAAGTCAGATTGATTCTTGGTTTAGATGACTTAAAATAATAAAGTGCAAAGAACATCAAAGTCCCCTGGGAAAATGGCTTTTTTTGTAACTGTAAATTCAGTCACAAATTTTGCCAATGCTTCATCTGAAATTTGTTAAAGCAGGTAATGTTAGTAAAATAATGATGTTATAATAATCTTTTTAGAATGACATGAATAAGGTTTTTATGACCCTTCTCAGCTTTTTATTATTACTTTTTCCTAGATGAAAACCATAAAGTATGTGATCTAAAATGTGTGTTACAATACATGGCTGCAGTATCCTACTATTCAGAGCACAAATATTAGATGAAATAATAAACCATGCTGCACATGATTAATCAATCGATTTTACAATGTGGTCTAAACAATAACAAACTTTCAATATTGAACTGCATTGCTAGCGCACCAGCAATCCACAGATGAATGAGTACAATAATCAACTCCATGATTTATTGAGTATTTGTGCTTTTCTAAACAGCATAGGATAATACTTGCAACTTGTGCTTACGATTCTGCATCATGCTGTTTGTCAGTTTAGGATTTAGTACAAAATTAGTTAATCAGGTTTATTCTACTGGCATATTTCCTACTTTATAATCACCAAAGCTATTCCAGAGATTTGTTTTATTCTCAGCTTGAAGAATGACAGACAGCAAAGCAGACCTATGTTTACTTTCAATATTGAACAGCTCCTGTGAACACCTTATGATGGCAGTCTATGTAATTTACAACACTTTCAGAGACTTCAATGACAAATCAAATTCAATACTGCAAGCCTATCATAGATTTAACAATGTGTTTCTCTATCTTTTAAGTCTATGGACCCAGACTAACATCATCAGTCTTAATTATTCAGCCACATAAAAGAAGTGGAGTGTTTTCAATCACTGTAAATCCAATATATATAAAAAACATTTAAAATATAACTAAGATGAGCCAGACAAGCTCTTTTTATTGTTATTCAATTATTTTTGATCTGCAGGCTTAATGCCTCTTATCTCCATCCTTTATGAGATCTTCATAGTAACCGCTATACAATATCCTACAGATACCTTCTGCAGCACTACTGTGAATAATTACCCATTACACACTCATTTACCATGGGTGACATGTCGACTTCATTTTTCTTTGGCTACACTTAAAATTATGATTTGTACATTCCTAAGTCAAAAATCAGGGCTGTCAATATATTAGCCCATTAATTTTTTGAAAGAACAGAAATATCTCTCTTCCTGGTTTTGCTAAGAAGGAACAAAACAGAAGGCTAGGGAAAAAATGTAGATGAGCAATTTTTTGGTTTATGTATTGCATTTATTCAACTGATTCTTCAGTACATATATACATTTTTTGTGGATAACAGTATATTTAACAAAGTGATCACAAAGTGATGCAAAATAACTATCAGGTCATTGCTTTAAAAGACTTGCAATCTTTCATTCACTTCCTTTAACCTGAGAGCCATAGGTAGTCCTAAATTATAAAGATATGACAATATAGTAATCAGTCCAGTGGATTACTGGACACAAAAAAAGAGGACACAAAAGTATACACGTGCCTGTTTACCAGAACAGCTCACAAAGAGAACAAAAGAGAAATCTTGTTTTTTGTCCCTGAATATTAATTAGATTTAATGGAGATATTGCACCGAATGAAACAGAATTTGTATTGGATTTTAAACCGATTCTCATCCTTAACAGTTTTGGCAAAGTGTGTTTCTACTACAGGCACCTTAGAAAATGAATTTAAAACAAATTTCTGTGGAATTGTGTTGTTATCAAAGCAACTGCATTTTCTTAAGTTTACCCTTTCTTCACATAGAAAAATGTTCTATACAAGCATGCTAAATGCATGGTCTAAATTCTGAGTATTACCTTTTGAAACATCCATACTACTTAACACAAAGTAAAATGCAGTATTAGTAGTGGGCCAACAAGTTGTGAAGTCTTATAATGCAGTAGTAATTCCCCAGCCTACATAATCTATTATAAATTAATTCACACTTAGTCAGGGTAAGATATAGAACTCAATAAATTATAACCAGGCAGGTTAAAATCCATCCTTGAACTATGGACATAGTATTTAGCAAGAATGTCTTTCACAGTCCAGAGGGGATCCAAAGCTATTGAGTCTGGATTACCTTAAGTATCAGCCCATAAGATACAGGAATCCAGATAACTAAATCCAAGCAAAAGCTGAAAAAACTGGAAATATTATTAATTTATTATGACTTGAAAAAGCCTATGGGAAAGTGAGCCTGCTGCCGGTTGCTATTAATGTTCAGTGATCGCTTATGTTTTCATCCTGCTTATGGGCAGCATAAATAATTTTCAGAAAGATCAAAATCTCTCTACTAAAGATTTATAGTCCAACCAAGTGTATCTTGCACACGTTGTCCTACTGGAGTGAAGGGGAAAATCTCATATATAGTTTACAGCCTACCAAACAAAAGGCATTCAAAAATCATAGAAAAGAATAATTATGGAAATGAAGTTAAACCACCCAGTAATACATACATAATATCTTTCTTCAAAGTATATCAAATGGGGAAATCTGTATAGGTGGGAAATTCATTGTAATTATCCCTAACTATGAGGTAGTACACAGTGCCAGATATACTGCAAAATCCCCTAACCATTTATCATATCAGAAAAATTAGCTGGAAGAATAAAGTCTTCAAGACGTATAAATGAATTATAAGGAATGAACTCATTAGGGCATTGCCTGTGAAGGTTATATGGGAGAGAGATCAAAAGGATAAGTGCCAGCAGAAGATATTTGAGACTCACTAAAACTGCTCCTCATTAACACATATTTCAAATTAATCCATTTCATAGGTGGATTATAGACTTACCATTGAAGTCAATAAGAAAACAGGTAGAACAAATTAAACCTGTAGCCCAACTAACTTTATGTTGCCAAGTGTTAGTGATACACCTCAGGCTTTACAGCCATAACCACACAAAACAGACTTAAGAATTTGTCAGGTCTTGTTTGGTCTTGAATTTATTTTAGTGCTGTTCAGAAAAAAAAGAAGAACCTTTAATTAGAATTAGTTGACCATTGCCTAAGTTGTCCTGTGTTCAATGGCAAATTATTCAGATATCCAGATTTCATGAATCTTTTGCATATCCAGTGATTTTGAGTTTAATTTAGTTATATTGTAATTTTTTTTCTAGTTGTGGTTTGTTTCTTTGGTTTTTGGTGGGGTTTTTTTAGCTTTTTAGCTTCATGCAATTGCATAACTGTCTTTAAAATGAAAGACTAAAAAAAAAGAAGTAATTATGGTGTAAGTAAGCCCAAGGGCACAGAGGGTAAGTAGGAGTGTATCTCATTAGCAAATAGAGGATTGAAACAAAATTAACCCTGAGAGGGCCCAAGACCATTATGGAAGAAACCTCCACCGGTGGCATCATATTCCTCCCGATGGAGAGCTCATGACTGATGATTCATCTGAGCAATGCACAGGAGGCATGAGTGTAGCACCAGAGAAAAGCACAGACACTAGGAAGCTGCTGTATGACAGTTTCAGTTGGAATATTAATAAAAATTAAAAATCATACGTCATTTGGGCTATAAGCATTAGTGTCACTGCAATTACACTAAAAAGAACGGTTGCACTTTGAAAGGCTGTTAAAACACTAATCAGAGAAACAGCAAATTCTCTTGGATCCCTGTGTAAGGTGTGCTCTCCTTTTTGCTCATAATGAAATTGTGTGGACTCATAAGAAACTCATTCCTGATTTCACCAATGTTTCTTTCAAAAAATCATTTAATCAGAAAATTTAGTATGCTGAAGAATGAGAAAAACATGCCTCAAAGCCAGGTGAGATGAATTTTACTCATGATTGTAAATCTTTTTCACTACTTCTACATCTTTTCACTAGTCTGAACTGACAATTGTACTTCTTATTTTATAACCTATTTAATATCATCATTCAGTGTTAATCTTTTCTTAGTAATCTTGATACTATTTTGTCATGTAGAATTTGAATCTGAATCAACAAATCCAGGGTTTTTTTTTCTTCTCCTTCTCCATCTTCCTATTTATACATTCAAGAACAGGCCCAGCACTGCAACAGGACTCATGTTCAGCTGATCTGACACTATGATCATTAAGTCTTGTATTTGTTTTCTATAAAACATTGGCACAAACGTATCTTTTTTCCAGTTCTATGGAGCTTCATTATTTTTTATAACTTAATGAAAGTCATCACCAAGGGTTCAGAAAATTATTTTTGAACTTTTCAGTGAAACTTACTACTGTTGGTTTTAAATACCCGGCCTTAGAATTTACTATTTAACCCACACTAAGTTGTAACTGGAATGTAAAGTATTTAACCATACCTTGATAGATGATATTTTAATATTGAATGACTGTCATAGGAATGAATGAATGAATGAATAATAATCACATGAATGAAAATCACATGTTTATTATTTTATCTAGTTATAATCAGTGATTCCATTTTTCTCCCAAAAATGTTCTATTTTTTTTTCCCCCCAGTTTGTTGTTACCCTTTTAACAGTCATGACTATGGGACCATTCATCTTGCCATTTTGGAAGCAACAAGAGCAGGTTGTTTTGTATAGTGACAGAAGAAGAAATAACCAGCAATAAATAGAGGTCTACGAAAACCTTTTTTTCCTCTTGGATTCTGTTTACCTTCTCCCTGATGTTGCATTATTCTGTGTATTTCACAGGCAATGCTTTCTTGTTGGAGGAAAATATTTCTAAATGTTCTAAATATATTGCTTAGTACCTTGGAATGAAATATGCTTAGAGTTGCAGACAGAACACTCCAGGGGATCACAGCTTTAAAACTGGTATCACATAATGAAGTTGTTTGAAAATCTTTTGATGTAAAATGTTGTGCATGGTTTGCAAAAGGACATTAAATTGATAATGATTTATGATATGCATTTTTATGTATTTGTCATAATAAATAAGGAAGGCAAGTCATCTCAGATGTATGAAAAGGGTATTTTTTGAAAAGGGAAACTTGGAATTTATAGCAGGATGATGTTGAGATAGGAGGGTCAGAAAATTAACTGATTAGAAGGGTAAAATTCATTTCACATAACTTCAAACATATACATGTGAGCTAGTCACCTGAAGATCCCTAAAGGTCAGGTGAGAGAAAGAAGGACTTCTAAGGCATGATTCATCTGTCTGACTTTAGATGTCTACTTTTGGTTGAGATGAATTGCTCTCTGGAAGTGCATGTTCCTCTCTCTTGACTATAAAGGGATGTTAGAACAAATCACTCAGATATACTAAGATCTACATTTAGTCAGGGTGAATCCCCAAGATTTTTGTATGAACTGGTATTAAGAGAAAGTGTCATCAAACATAATACGATACTGCAATTTATACGAATAAAGAGCTAAGATGATCATGCTTCTACAAAGTGGTCTTAATGGTAGATAAATGACAAAATTCTAAAACACTTACGCAAATCCTCTCTCCTTCTGCACAGCTGGGAACATGTTTTTCTTAGAATAAAATGAAGTATATACTTGGATTCCAGAGGGTTGTCTGAGCATCATGACTTAACGTGCTAGCTTTATAAAAAGTAATTATCATGGAATCACAGAGGAATTACACATGAAAAGGAAGAACCACCTCAGGAAGATTTCCATAAAGCTATGATGATGACTGACATCAGATGAAGCTTTGTCTTTGTATTTGAAAGTTTAGAACCTGATTTTTTTTTTTCTTCCACTTATCCCAGTTTTATGCTGACAATACTCAACTTCAGTGAGCTGGTTTTTGTTTTCTACAGGTTAAAGTGAAACGGTAATCAGGTTCTAGCAGATGCAACACGACAGATCAACATTTCTTGCACATCAACCAAGTAAATATATTCATTTTGTATCACTGAATATTTAACTTGATAGCTTTCTTCTAAGTGTTGGTTGAGGTTTGGTGAATTCCTGCATCTGATAGTCTGAGGAATTCCATACTACAAATCATCACACCAGTCAGTCAAAGAAACTTGAGGAGTTTGTTTACTTAACATATGAGTACCTGCCATGGGTTTCAAAGAGCCTCCCAAGAGTTTGATAAGGACTTAGATGCATTTATTATCTTTCACTTCACCTCACTTTGCT